AATATATTATATAATATATATTATATACAAAAATAATTATATATATGTAATTATAAAAATATAGATATATAATTACAAATTAGAGCGGTTGTTCAATTAAAAGCTTGTTTTATGTTACATTAATTAAATGTTACAAATATTATATATAATATTTTCATTAAAGGTATTTTCATTAAATTCTTTATATTTAGAATTTAAATAATTTGTTATGTACACAAATACGTGACACTAGTATTACTTTTGTCAATACACACTTTTCGGGTATAAATGGTGAATGTAATTTAAAAATTAAGATTTTGCAATCACAAAAATACATTTTCAATGAAAAAAAGAAATATAACAAATATCTATAAATACATATTCTGTGATTTTGTCCTATTCACAATTTTTACTTGCGTATTATCGCAGTTATATTATTGTAGATTATATAAGTGTAAAAATATTAAAAAAATTTACTTATCTATATTGTTTTATTTGCGTGTGGTTTATCGCTAAGAAAAGAGAATTTAAGATTGCTGCAGAAGCGATAGTTTAAATTTGAAGCAAAATTTGGTAATATTTATGGCAGTCAAATCTTAGAAAACATTGTAGGAATTTTCTCAATGCGTATTATATAAAATGTAAGATTTTTTTTTATATACATATCAATTAAATCACGTAAACCTTAATATCGCTTTCAGCTAGATGCAAAAAAACGAGTTTAGTTAAGTTATAACATTTAAAGCTTCTGTAATTCTTATTATTTTGTGTAGATGATATAAAATAAGATTGCACTTTTGTAACTATAATATGTTGTGTGCTATTGATATAGAAAAGAGCTTGAGAGCAACCATAGACAAATTTTACATAATCCTTGCCAAGAACAGAAACATAAAATATATTTCCATGGTTGCTCTCAAGCTTCTCCCTGATATTAACTTGTAACAAGTCTATATTTTATCTTGTTTAACCAAACATATGAAAGATTCCATATTTTGTAAACACACACTGCATATATATATTTGCAGCACTTAAGCAATCCTTCTCTTCTTGGTTTAGTTTACCTGCCACTGAAAGAAAACATAACAAGCTAAGTAAACATTCTCACAGATCATCGTGCAATTCACTTATTGGTTTTTTTTTTTTTTTTACCTTTAATGCAGGTTCTGAAGTTCCAGCCTTGGCAGCTTCTCGCTCTCTCCTTTCAATTTCTGATACACGCTGCTGATGTCTCTTGGCAGCTTCCGCATCTTTCAATCCCCGTGATTGCTGCTCGGCTATTCTTTTCTCAGCTGCTTCTGCCAGTTTTCTACGCATAACATCCTAAGTAAAAAAAAAAAAAAAAATGACACGTACGAAATAACATGTCGAGTATTACGCAAAATAAAAAAATTTCGTTACAACTGAATTCATAACCTCACGAACACATACCGCATCTTCGGGGTGCACGTATCCACGCTCGCTATATGATGACGATTCCTCTTTGGAGTAACCCAATCCACAACAGTTACCCATGATGAAACGATTACTTCGAATCAAGCAAATACGTTTCTCGTTCGAAAAGTTATCGTTACATTGACGGCGCGTATGACCACATATGATGCATCGAGCAATGTATGCATGGCTTACGCATGACAGGTCTTTGCACTGTTGTAATTGAGAAACTCGGTGCCCGTGTGCAAAAATCGACGAGAATCGAGTTTTATATTATTCTGCGCGAGTTTTATATTATATTTAACTTCACAAAAATACTTTTGTAAATATAGAAATTTATATGAAAAAAAAACTGAATACATATAAATATATGTCATTTATTATAAAACACATCTACACACACACACACACACGGAAAGTTACATGCGTTATATATAGTTTATCTCTTCGAAAAGTCGAATTTATCACAACCATAGAAGCGGAAACGAGAAAATCTGATTATTTCATTGACAATTATGAGGGAAGCGAGGGAGTTATATAACTCTCTACACCTTTTGAAGTTTTCTTCGTGACGCTAATGCCAAAAAAAAAACTGCCTCCCGCCGACCGATAACTCCAACAGCGGGCAAATTAAATTTTCTCGTTACTTATATTAGCGCTATATCACAGCCTATTCTCGACGCGAATCGAGTTTGCGTGCACGCTCACTTGACTTTCCAAAGTGCACTTGTAGTCTCGACGTGTCAATTTGCCGAGTGAATAAATTTTGTCACCACCGACGATAAAACGGATTTAATTTATTGCAGCGCAAAATTGCGGTTTTTTTTAATAAACTTGCCGCTCTCTTTCTCTCTCTTTCTCTGTCTCTCTCTCTCTCTCTCTCTCTCTCTGTCTTTCTTTTTTCTCTTAGAATATGCCGTTTATTCGGTTGTATTTAAATCCACAATGTATTTTTAATGTCTCCGTTTGAGGTCACAAATGAAAGGAAACCGCAATGTATATCGATTTTCCGCTTTCCATGACAATACGTACCCTATGTCTTCTATCTTATTAATGTTGGCGCAGCTGGCACAAACGTCGTGTGAAACGTAGACAGAATTGGGATAATTAATTGTTGTCTTCCAAGGAAACGCGCTTCCATCTCCGAAGGAAAAGGGACTGTGCGGATATCGAGCATTATTGCGCGCTGTTTGCACACGCGATTAATCAAAGTTCCAGTTCCACTCTAATACTGAAAATTCGATTTGTATAATCAGGTTTTTTCTTCGGACTTTTACGAAAAACTGTTTTCCTCTCCTGTTACTTGTTGAACGCAAATTCGTTGCTGAAAATTCGTTTCAAAAATCTCGGAAAATTTTTCTTCTATCATGTATCAATTATTTCACACACACACACACACACACACCAATATTTTAAATGAAATATATAAAACATTAATAATAATAATAACAACGTTTAATGATGTATCAATCATTATGTGAAATGCGCGTTCAGAATCATTAAAACTCTTTGAAGGAAAAGAAATGTAATTTGAAAGAAAAAGCAAGAAGTATTTTTTCAGCGCCTGCTCTCTCGTTACCATCGAAATGTGTCTTAAATAAACATCGAAAAGTTTTTTTATGCAAAAGTTTTCATAGAAAAGTCGAACGACTTTTCTCATCGCGATCTCGTGGGGCACGTGCCTCAGATCGGATAATAGGAAGCAAGAAACAAAAGGGAATGAGGAGATTATGCTCTCGGCAATGGCGCGCAATTATAGAACACGCGGCGAACTTTCGCAATATCTGTGTACCCAACTTTTATTGCTTAATACAGACTGCATTCTGAGAGTCGTGAGTAGCGTTTTTAAATATTGTTAGCTCGGTCTTTCATTTTTTTTCGAACATATATTTTGTATTTCTTTCTTTCTCTCTCTCTCTCTTTCTCTTTTTCTTGACATAATTGTTCTTAGGCTCGATTTCTTCATACCTCCCAATAGCTATATCCCCCCTCTGGATATAAATATACAAAAAGATACACTTTATCTTTTAGTTAAAGTTATCGAGAATTTATCAGAAGAAATTGGGCACTAAACAAGTAACATAGAAAACACGTGTCATATGCCGTTACATAATCTTTTCTATCACTTGTTGCGCGGTTAGAGTAAATAAAACTCACAAAAATATTCGTTTATAACATTATAATAATTAATATGTTACATTTAATATTAATCAATAAGGTGAGAGAAAAGTGAATTTCCCTTCAGAATAAAAAAGAACTACGGTTCCGATGTTTCATTACCAGTACTGGAAATCTATTAATATACGTCGCGTGAACTATGGATTTCTAATGCGGCAGTGAATATCGGAACGCAACCTATGTCTGTCAAGCGTCTACTGGTATGTGCACACGACACTTACTATACGCGTAACGGCGTAATTCCTAAACTTATCGCTAGGCGTCGCAGACGCGTTCTCCGTTACTCGCGAGTAACATTTGTCACGTATGTTAATAAATGGGCGTCCGTGTCGACCGTAAGCATACTTACCTGGCGCAGAGGTTACCGTGATCAGGAAGGCGGTTCCTCCAGGGCGAGGCTCTTCCATTGCACTACGGTTGAGCTGACCCTTGCGAATATCCCTAATGTGGATATCTCGGGCGTACAATTTTTGATAGTCGGGACTGCGTTCGCGCTATCCCGGTCAATACAATTCAAACATAAAATTTCTTTTGTAGGAAAAGTTACTTTTGAATTAGGCGAGAGGAAAATGTTCTTTCTTCTTTTGACTTTTAAAGTACCTTTCTGACGGATGTGCAAAGTTGGTTGTATATACTTCGATGTTAACAAAGGCGGCGTATGTATTGTTATATATATGTCCGTTCTCATCATTTGGTTATATTTTAGATTAGAGTCAGATATCAAGAGAGAGAGAAGAGGAAGAAGAGGTGCTCCGTTGCCCTTATACACTGCTAGATAATGTGTACTTGTTGTTAATATAGAATTTTCTTACAGGTAAGAAGAAATGTGCGTTTGTAGAGTTCCATAATTGAACATTGCACGAAATATATCACCAAGAGGGGATGCCCTTGGTTAACCGAATCGTAAAGCGAAGTGTGTGTGCTGCACGGAATGCAGGAGAGGGTCCCACCGGGTTTTCTCGACTTTTTCGACCAAGATATTTTTTTCCACAATGATATATTTCTTTAATTAAATTCACAAGGAGATAAAGGGATGTTTTTCTGTTATATGCACGAGATATCAAGAGCCAAGCTTTTCGAGATAATTATAATTTAGACTTTAAATATTTTGCATATGTATATTCTATCGCAATAGTTTTTACTAACTTTTATTATTTCTCTCATGGTTGTTTCTCTATTTATTTTTAGAAGAATGTTTTTTTAAATAATGTTTGTAATATTGCTTGTTTTAAAAAATAAGAAAACACTGTTTTTCTTAAAAATATATATATGGTAGAAAATTTATATATATATATATATATATATATATATATATATGTACATATAAAGTTTCTCGAACGATTTCTTGTACAACTTAATATTTCTCTTATAACAAATATTTTTCTATTTTTATTTTTAGTTTTTTAGAAAAATGTCTTCTTTAAATAAATTTCTATTTCACAAAATGAGAAAACAAACATTTTCTTAGATGTTTTTCTAAGAATATCATTCTTAATATACTATTTGATATATTTTAATATACATAATAAAATAAATATAAATTTTCTATATAAATTTTTTATATATAAATGTTCTCAAATGATCTCTTGTACAACGCGTATCTCTTTCAACATTTGCAAAGTACAGTGTTTTATATGTAATAAACTTTGTAGCGCAAGAAAACATTTCACAGGTTTAGAATGTTCCGTGTACGTTGTTACACGGTACGAATTGTTACCCTTTAAATTCCATTAAAAGCTACAGGCACTAAATCGTGCTGTCCCATGAGAATAACTCGGGCATGCGCTTAGGCAGGTACCGGCTGCTGCGGTTCCTGTGGGAGGTGCGCCGAGTACGAAAAGCAAGGACGACGAGTCGGCGAAGGCGCAATACAGGCGCGCGCCTCGTTATAATGTTCTTCTCGCGTTCGGGGTTGAAACGCTCAGTTGGATCGCGACACCCTTCATCGACGGGTCGAACGCGATAGGAATTTTCCTCTTTATCACCTGCCTTGTGATACTGATGTGTGCGCGAAAATTCAACTGCTAATTAAAGTGTTCACAGCATTTTTTCTTTTTTTTTTAATTTTATACCGTATATAAAAAAAAATGCACATATAAAAGTTAGAGATAACATTATTATTATAAAACATGTTTATATATACCCATGTATATGTTTAATCAGTGTTCATATTCTTTTTGATATTTTTCTATACATACAATATACATACAAGTTGAAAATAAAGTTGCAATACATTTTTTAATTGTTTTTAGGAGAAACCTCGTAAGATAATTTTGTATCTATGTTAAATAATTTGTAATAAGTAGAGATAGAAGAAAATATAAATTTATACGATTTTGCATTTAAATATTGTATTATTTTTACAGAGTCTCGCGATTCTGCTTCTGCGTCAATAAATGCACGAAAAAAAAAAAAAACTGAAAACATAATCGCGAATATGATTTCAAGAAAAAACGAAAGGACATTTTTTTCAAAAACTTAGAACGCGAATATTCGAGGCAAAATTTTGAAGATATCTTGCTGCGGTCAGTCGCGCGCATGTCGAGAGCTCGAAACTTTTGTAATCGTTGTCACGATACGTGCGTGAGTTTCCACGATTGGTGGCACTAACTACCCAAGGTCATCGTGGTGGTGGCGAGAGCAAGGTCATCAGTGTCGCGAAATTACGAGGAGGAGGAGGATGTGGAGGAAGAAGAACGTGATCCTGATCACGTTGATAGTCGTCGCCACGCTGATCTTCTTGATCGTAGACGTGACCGCTTCGGGAAGTTGTAGCTCCGCGAAGCTTTGCTGTCAAGGCAGGGATTCCGGCTGCGTCATACAAAAGGAGTCGCTGAATGCAATTATCGAGACCCCGCACGATAAACCGTGTTATTGCGACCACGCTTGTCTGAAGCTTGCCGACTGCTGCGACGACTTTAAGGAAACTTGCGGTGGTACGTGACGACCTTGACATGATATATATGTTTTTATATGTTATAACAATATATAATTATTGTAAAACAACAATATTATCATATAGTTGTTATAAAATAATAACATAAAAATTAGTAAACTTTATACTGCAATTGAGAGCGGAATAATTTTTATTGCTTTATTTGTTACGAAATATATTTAGACTATGAAATAAAAAATATAAATGTAAGCAGTTAATTGAAATAATAAAAAAAAAAAACGTCAGGAGAGTAATCAGTTCTTCAAAGAAAATAGTGCAACACATTGATTTCGAGCATGGTTCGTTTTTACTCTCTTTCACGGAGTAATTCACGCTAAAACACACGCTTAATCCAAGATTTCATGGGATTATACTGGATCTTAGAGATGTGGCGTAGATCTTAGTTAAAACAAGTTGCGGTTATTTTGAATTATTACTTAACTCTTATCATTCGCTGTACGATGTTAATTAATATCAGTAAATGCATTTTTTTTGGACCAAATTTTTAAGGATCGTGCGTTTGGAAAAAATAGATGTTTAGTTGGCTCTTTTATTACACATAAATGCGAATAAAACGTTTTTTCACAAGCCACTTTCAATCTTTTAATCAAACAAGTACACACAACACACCACAAAAAGATAAATAAATTAAAAAAGAATAATTTAAAAATATGAATATAAATATCCCGCCTATGAGATATACAGAAGATATTAACAATGTTTTATTGAGAGTTTAGTTAAATATCGGGGGTAACACAATAATATTGCATTTCATAGAAACAAACGAATGTGTCTCTTGCATGATCGAAATAAATTAAATTTTATTATAAACCCGCATCTCTCATTATTGGTTTGATGTTGTTTATTACAATAAATTAATATATGCGCAACGAAATGCAACGTGGTATAATTACCTTAAATTTTTTATTTCAGAGAAATACAAAATTTAAAGTAATTAAAACTTCATGAAAAATCATCCGTCTCAGATAAAAGTGAACAATTTCAAAAACATGTAAAAAAAAGTATATACATACGTGCATATGTGTGTGTGCATATATGAGTTTCGTGTTTTAGATATACAGGAAAAAATATTCTCTAGGGAAACATTCCCCGTCTCTACGTGAAAAGTTGAAAGAGTTATTACGCAACAGTGCCTAAGTAAAGCCGATAAGGCTAATCATTAGGTCAATCTTAACAAAACATAAAATGTAAAGAATATATGAGTATCTGAAAAAAAATAAATGTACTCCGTTCTTTCTGGACTTTTTTGCTCATATCCTAAAAAGTTGACATAATTTGTAGAATATAATATTTTCATGTTTTTTGTTTTTACCGTTTGCCTATAACATATTGTTATTTATGCGTGTAATTGTAATTTTCTATTTATATAGTTTTGTTAAGTTTTTGTGTTATACTTAATATCCGATTAAAAGAAAACAATAATGTATATATTTTATAGCTTTTATTGTATGTAATTTTATTGCATGTTTTATTTTTTTCAGAAATAAACGTATTTTTTTCTTTCTCGTGTATTGAATACTTTTTAATAATTATTACTAATTAGCAGTGCAATCACTTGCTAACTAAGTATGAGTAATCAATGGTTTTGTTGTTCATATTTGTACAATAAATTGTCGAGCCATTCCACATCGTTACACAATTGTGTTTGGAATTTTATGGCTCGCCGAACGACACACATCGATAGAGGCAAAAGGATTAATGTTACTCACTATACACATTTCCATTTGTTCAACATGGCCGTGCGTTTCGTGTCTAATTGCTAGTTAATGGATACCGTGTGATAATATAGCCCGATACAACAACAAATTGAATGAAAAAAAAATTTGTATTTGTATCTGCTTGGTGTTTATTGTAAATCGCTCAGACAACGCAATTACCGAAAATATAATAATAGTATAATAGAAAGTAATCATTTTCTTGCATCTTTGCTGCGAGATCTTGTCTATCCGAAATGTTCGTCTTTAACGCCGTTTAATGCTTTTCTGCCATTCGTCAACTATAGAGAGAAAGAAAAAGAAAGAGAGAGAGAGAGAGCGAGAGAGAAAGAGAGAGAGAGAGAGGGAGAGACTCCGATATTCACTAAACCTGAGGCTAAAGCTGCTCCGGAACGCGATTATCACGCGCTCGCCGGACGAAGAAATGTCGTTCTTTTCTACTTGAAGATGTAACTCACTGTCACGAAAAAAGAAGCATTAGCCATATGCAGCTAAAGTCGTTTTTCTAGTGACGGAAAACCGTTCCATCTATAAGCGAGATAGTAATAATAATAATACTAGTGTTTTATTAATCTTTTTATTTTATCACAAACTTGAAACACGAGACGAACTTTTACATATTATGTAACGGGATCGACGTATCGGGCGCGCGTGCAAAAGTGGAATCTTACAAGTGATGATAATACGTTACATGCGATTGAATGTAAATGACGGAATCAAATCAACATTAAGAATTTATTTAAAATTTCAACTATATTTAAAAAATTCGAACACTATTATCATTTAACATGATTAAGAATTTATTTATTTATTTTTTTTAAATGACGCTAGTACAAAGAAGGTTGTAAATAATTCTCTCTTGTTTTAACGCGGTAATTTTAGTGACATTTGATATAACGGCAACATATGACATCTTACGTGACTGTTACGAACTACTGATGAAGCATTATCTTCTCTATTACCCCGATGGGCTCCGACCGGATGAGCCAGCAACATCATCGTACCTACGTCATTCGACCATTCGCATTCAACGAACCGTCGTCGACCGGCAGGCACGCAAAATAATTTAGTTCGACGAGCATACAATCGATCGATGACCATGTCCCGGCAGAGATCGAGGTCGACGGAGCCAAATGGACTGCATTATTAACGTTCGATAACTATAAGAGAAAAACAACAAACAAGCACTCTTATATATAACGTATCGCTTATTATTAAAAGGTGTGTAATGTAAAATGCAGCTGTGAAATTTTGCCACGCTCACGTTGATGAAAAACACACTTTCTGTATATATACAAAGCTGTTTCTCTAACGCGGTTAAATTGGCCTTCGTACCGATCGGAAACGGGAAATGAAAACGCGCTGGCTCTCGTATCGACAATGGAAAATGGCAATAATTACATACAATCATTAAAATATATATAAGTATTTGAAAAATTGACACATATGCATCGCGCAAATTGCTCTATAATGTACACACAATGTGTGCTATTCGTAAAAAAACAAAAAGATAAAACTAAACACGTACGTTTTATTTGTGAATATGAAATTACGTTCTGATATTTTAATTTAATTAATTTATTTTTAATACAAATATCGCATAGAGTGAACACATGTTCTTGCGAGTACAACGTTCTCTCATCGTCATGTTCCCTACTTATGAAAAATTCCACTTTACGCAGACTTCAAAGATCTCTCTCTCTTTTCTTTCTGTATGGCGAAATGTAAAAGAGCTACGTGTATATTTGAATACTTCCTTTTAATTGCTTCTTTAAGCTACGTAATAATCTTTTATTATAAGAGAGCGAGACGTCTTGCAGAAACGTATGAAATGAATGGTATCGTCCGACGCGGCTGCGTTTAACAGAGAGCGAGATATTACTCAGTTAATTGCTCGGTTCTCGCTTTTCGAATGCGTTAAAAATTCGGTGCGAGATATAGTTTCACCGGTCAATATTTCATTTGAAACGTTTAATTAATGTCTCGTGAAAACTATAAATAACATATACATATATACATATAGGTGTTACTCTATAGTTATATCAAAAACATTTTGATATATTTATGTTATTCAATACATTTCGTGTAAAATTGGACGACAACGCATAAACAAATGGGAACGAGAGACAGACAGTATCGCGCATCTCTACTACTTTTTCACGTGTGTTTTAACAGAGAGGAACGCGAGATGATCATCAACATTATTTTTATCACATTTTTTTTTATCCTCATTTCAAAGTCTCTTTTCTGACGAAATAACGGGAACACAAAGCTAATGACGCGCGACCGAAATATTTCGAAGGGTAAGTCGCTTATTTCTGCGGAGCCTTTCTTCCTTTATGTGTGCGCGGCACAGAATACATTACAGAATGATAACTCGATAAAATAATTGGACTCTTTCATCTCCATTGGAGTATGTGTGTTCCGCATCGTAGCTTCGAACAAATTTTCTTCTCTCGAGCAATTGAACACAATCGTTCGTAGTGATTGAATTAATTGTAGCATCACATTATCAGAGATTAGTTAATTACTCAAGAATGAAGAAGAGAGAGACAGAGAGAGAGAGAGAGAGAGTCACGAAGAACTTGTGAACGATGTAAACATTTTTCGAATAACTAGCTATCGATTTGCTCCTTACCGGCGGCACTTTTTTGTTCGTCTCTGTGAACAAGAAACGACGGATGTCCAGAGAGATCGCAACGTCTCAGATTCATTCTCTTCTTAACTCACAGTTGTGGACTGCGCGGTGAGCGAATGGAGCCCGTGGAGCCCGTGCGATAACGGATGCGGAAGTGGCACTCAAAGACGCATCCGGGTGATCGAGATCTCGGAGAAGAATGGCGGAAAGCACTGTCCCCATCTGGATCAGGTCAGAACGTGCCACAGTTTTCAGAGTTGCCACGCCGGAATTCGTTCGTCGCAGCCGCACGCTAAAAGTGAGTGCCGATCGATCGATCTTCGTATTTATAAGAGACGAAAAAGAACGCGATCAGAGAGCCGCGCGGTCTTAAATTTAAACAAGATGTTCTCGCAAACGGCATCGCATTAATTTCAATTTCTCTCGCGCGCAAGATAATTTAAATATTTATCATTCAGATATCGAAATTATTTTATTATTACGTTTCTCTTCCTCTTTTATCGTATTCCGAATTGTGTCAATCGATCACGTGTAAAAATTCTCACGGAGAAAACTGCGATAAATAAAAAGATACACGGTATATATTTTCTCTTTCTCATTCTTTCTCTGGATTTTCAATTTCTGCAGAATAAACGCGCTCCGTACTCGGCATTTTTCCCCGAGTATTTGTTTTTTCTAGAGGACTCCGCAGACGGCTTATCTTCGATTGTATTTACCGCGAAAATCTTGACGTCTGCCGACTGACTTTCTCGATCCTAGGCGATTTCCTTTCATTTGCCGCAGGTGTGACGTTTCTTACGCTTTTTCCGGGAGACGGCAACGGTACGGACGTAAGGATCAAGGATGGGATCGTCGATAAAAGGTAGGTCAAAAGCTCCTACCCTTTCCTCCTCGTGCTTAAGCTCAGCTTCGTGCGAAATACGATTTGCCACACGTGTTTCCAATTCGAGAAACAACGTCTTTTCTACATTCTCCCGAGCGACGTGGCACGAAAATGGATAAAACAAGAGTCGCGAATTTGGTTTAAAAATTAATGTATATTACAAATAAAATATTTGCATTTAATATATTTCATTTACGAGAAAACGTCGACGAGCACACGAGGGCTTTCAGTTTATATCATTTTTCAGATGACAGAGAGAAAGAGAAAGATACACATTTACTTTTTATTTCAATTTCCAACCGTGTCTTGTTTATTTTAATTATTAATTTTTGTCATTTTCACGTTTTATTCGCTGCAAAAAAACGCGATACGTTTTTAAATTAATTCACATATACTTAATGCAATTAGCTTTTACTTTACGTCGCAATAATGCACCGACTATAATCGAGTGACGTAATTAATAATCTCTCCAAACGCCTTTTGTGTGTGTGCATTATTGACAGCTCAGAGAGGTCTGCTGCGTAACTGATTAGTTGGCGTCCTTAATTTTCCAAGTTCGTTATCAGGGGATTCAATTTCATTAAAAGGTTTTCTCTTCGCTCGCGTCGTGACTTCGTGATGTATTTTTAATCATTTCCGCGGGCTTCTGCAAAACGAGGAAAGACGAGGAAATCATGTCGATATGTCGCCAATATACGACGCAGAGATCTAATTTGACGCGCGCGCGCGCGCACGCACGCGTTCATCTGCCGCAAAACACGTAGCAAACACACATCGCGCGGTATCGAAATTCCCCGGTGATGTTGTCGAGCGAGTAAAGCAAGTTACTCACTAGTTACCGAGTTGCCAGCATGCAACGCGCAACGATATGTGTAGAACCCTTTGGGCTGTCATGTATATGGCGCATGGTCAAACACGAGAGGGAGAGAGAAAGAGAGAGAAAGAGATCCCCCGATTTAGGGGAATCGGTAATTAATGCAAAGACGACATTGTGTGTACGTTTCAGCAGCAGCTGTATCGCATTCACCATTGTGCGGGCTTCGCGGGCTTGCAGTAAGATTTCGGATTTTCTCGTAGAAGGTTGGTATTATGGTTGTTAAAAACTACGCGGAGACACGTTTAAAATTCAGTTTGCATTAATTTTTCACGTTTCCTTTATTAAATGCGACTTCCCAAGTCGCTAAGTATCGAGTCACGTTTCTTTTGTTTGACTGACACAGTTGAATATTTGCGATATAAAACTTGTACTAGTTTTCTTTTTACACACGTACATATTTACGTTGTCACAAATGTTTCGATACATCTCGAATTCTACGTGCGTCCTTGTGTTAAAAAACATTGAAAGAACTTGGAGTTGCATAAAAACAAACGATGTCGGATCCTTGGTGAAGAAGCTTGTAAAAACACAAAATATATATTGCACGAACGAAGAAAAAAAAAAAACAAGAGCGGATGTTCCGCATATCGGCCATTCTTTTCGCAGTTAAGTCCTTGCGCGTTCAACTTTTTTAAGTAATCGTAATGCTTCGAAGAGACAATAGACTTCTGTCTTTTCTTACAAAAAAAAAAAAAAGAAGAAGAGAAACGTATCCTCAGTGGGGATGTAAAAAGTCGGGAATCGCACACAGAGGAAAAAATTATCTGGCTTCTCCGCAGTTTTTCTCGGCTGTCTAATATTATGATAAAGAAGATTCCATCGAGTCCGCGTGCCTGGCGACTTTCAACCTTGCAATATTAATTTTAGTTTCTTCCGATATTCTCTCATTTACATCGCGCGAAGCGCGAGACTTGACGGACTGCATAAATTGATAAATACGAGTGGCACATCGTCGGCAAAGAAAAAAAGCGTGTAATTTCTTTATGAAAAAACAATATTGCCTTCAAAAGCTCTCAACTTGCATTGTTCGCTCGAATTATACACTTTACGTTTTGTTGCGCGAAATATGTGTTATGAAAAATAAAGAATATCGCTTCGTGCGCCAGGCGGTGTGTTAAATTTAGAAAAAATTTATATTAAAAACAACAAAAAAAAAAAACAAAAAAAACAAAAAAAACAAAAAAAAACAAAATAAGTCTCTCGTAATTAATGGTCAGTAAGTCTCCCGTAGGGGTGTGAGATCGAGTATAAAAAAAAAACCGAGTCTCGAAGGAAATCGAGTATCAAAGAAACCGCGCTTTTTTTTTCGAAGATCGCGTGACACGACGACGGGACATTTTGTGGAAGAGAAGCCTCGTCAGAATCTGAATACGCGCGAAATTCGCATAATGACGAGTCGCGCTACGCCAACGGAAATGAAGCGACTCTCGATTCGGGTTCTCCTAATTAACGCGCGTCGCGGCTGTGCGACATAACGTCATGTAAATTGGAGCGTATACCCTCCCGTGACGCTTCTCCGCGATGGTTGTTATCGCGAAGGAATCGACCGGATGAAGTGGATGCAGTGGTGGAGATAACGGTTGTTTCCTACCGGCGACGTATCTCTCGCGCAGATAAGCCACGGAAACCGCGGAAATCTGCGGACAGAAGCAAGTTATTTTGACGATGGGTTTACTTATTATCTCGAAGCCGCTGCTCAAGTATTATACAAAGGCGTCTCGCTTTTCTCACTTCGCGATACTTTATGTATCTAATCAGTTCGTTTCTCTTTGTCGCAATTAACCGCAGAAAGCAGGCCGAATTATATATATATATAGCGACACATTTGTCACGAATCTGATGTTGATGTTTTTAAACGCCTCTGTCGTAAAAATGAAATAAAAAAATAACATATTTGTACCTTAAACTAAAATCAAGATTATATGTCACACAGAAATTAAATTATAAATAAATAATTAAAAATAAAAACACAACGTCGCGTTTAACATAACGTATATACATGTGTGTAATTAAAATTACACACGCCGTCGAGCGAGAAAGTGCAAAAACCGGATGATAAACAATGAAAATCACAGGTTCGCGAATCTGCGTGGAGCATCCCGATGACGAGAGTATGGACAGATACGTGGGAATCGGCAGGTGGAAACTGTCGATTGACATCGTGGGCAACGGCCGATCGGCGCGTTCGGCTTGTCACGGCAAGTGGATCGGCGATCCGCGACTCACGCTCGACTGCCGCGATCCGCGATGCACGCAATCGAGTCAGACGACTCCGTACACCTCGCAGCTATTTCGCGATCGGAGTCGCAGAAGCACAGAAAGCAGAAGGACCAGGCGACGAAAGAAAAGTAAAAGAAGACACGCCGCTGCAGAATGATAAACGTTTCCCGGAAGCTTGTCGTAGCTCCCGCGAGTGCCATCCCTTTTAAGATCGCTACTTTTTCCTCTTTCATCCTTTCTTTATCTTCTTTATCTTTAGCTTCTCTCTCTCTCTCTTTCTTCCTCCCTCTCTCTCTCTCTCTCTCTCTCTCTCTCTCTCTCTCTCTTGATATATGATATCCTTTTTAAGTTAAGTGTTTTTGTTTCAGTTTTTATAGACAAGAAAACAGTACGCAAAATATAATCTAATCCTATTTTCCACTACATTTTTCTTTTTTTTTTTTCTCTTTTCCTTCTGTCGAATAAATCAATAGCACGGAACCGCCACATATATATAGATTATCCCGATAATTATCACATCGATTTTATCATTATGGCGCAGGAGATGTGTTCGTGAGGAAAATTTCCTTATTCCCTCGACACTTCGCAGGATAATCAATAAGCGAGCGAGTTGGGTTTTATGATTTACGCTTCGTGGTTGCGGATTCAATAAATTGCTGGATGACGGCGCTCTCGAGATAAGAACGCCAGAGGAACGCGCGTTGTGTTAGCGCATATGTGTGTGTTATATTGTTGTTATTTTTCTCATATCCTTTCCCCCTTTTCCTTGAATTTACATTCGATCTAGTGCATTGTACGCGTTACCGAATAGATGTGATATTACATACACGTGTATATTCGTAGCGAGAATAAGAAAGGAATTTATCATTATTGTAATCACATAAATTTATTTTATTAATAACAACAACAACAACGTGTGACCATCGTACTATATTTCTTACAAGAGAATCTGTAGAACTAAAACCGCGCTGCTTCTCAAATAAAATTTCTTTTAATTGTTTTTGTCATTCTATTATCGAAAGTTCATCAGTGTTGCATATTGTCGTTTGTCAATATGTACGCAAGATATGTATTCCGGAATTATATATCAATACTTATTTGTAATCGCAAACATTTTTCTCACATCTCGATGAGTGTCTTAATAAAACGATATATTCTCAAACTCTGGACTCGAAAATTTGCGATGACGCTTATTATTTTGTTAATTTTGTTGCGAGTAATAGAAATAAGTTTTCGATGTTTCTACAAGAGAGCGTCAAATTTCTTGAAAAACATATCGTATGTCGTGCGATGTTATACATTATTTTTGTTTACTTTTTACCTTAGGTTTCTCGACACGACGTCTGGCGAATAAGTACGCGAAATATCATTTGTCTTCGTCGATATAACATATCGATGTGTTGAGAGGATCAAAACTATCCAAACGAAGACGAACGAAATGTAAAAGCACAGTTAATAAAAAGTACTTGCACTTACGTTGTGTGTCTCTGATATGAAAAGAAAACAAAATATTCATATAAAACTATATATTTTTCTTGCATTTTACCTTTTCATTTTTCAAACATCACAACATCTCTTTCTTCGCCAATCCTACAACCAGAAATTTTATTTTTATTTCGTGCTTTAACAACAAGTTTGTTTAACAGATTGTGTAATATATAAACGTAGAAAATAAATTGTGTGTATGTGTGTGTGTCCCCTTTATTATTCAACACAAAGAGTAAAGATTCAATTGCGCGCGCGCACACACACACACACACACATTCTCTAGAGATTTGTTAATTATTTAATCGAATTCTGCTATATGTTGCGTGCCAAATAACAAATATAACTGTCACAGATTAATATCTGCGTTACATCATATACAAGTAATGATGACGTTTAACATCCTTTTATAAACAATTAGCGTGTCACTGTTCGTATCGTAATTTAAGTATGCTATATATATACATATATATATATATATATACACGTTATCATCAACAAGATTTGAAAATGTATTTGGAAAGAGGCAATAAAGTTTTATTTATTACGCACAAAACATTACAACTGTGTGTATATTGTCAGCGTAATTGTACGTAACAATGTAATTAAGTGTCGAAAGAAAAGGAGAGAGACACTGTTAATTGTGCGTCAAAAATACATATCGCTGACCCACATTTTCCAGTAAGAGTTTAAAATCGCTTTTGCCACGAAAACAGGAAAACCTGTCCAAAACAGGATCCGACTTCCGTACGTACTGTCTGTTCTCTATTCACATTCTCGGACGGGCCGTCTAGTTATTTCCCGAACGGAAATTTTGCGGTTGTTCAAAAGACGCAATTATCAGCAAACAGACCGCGTATCCTTGTTGCGAGTTTTCTATAAAATGCGCCGTCAAATTCCTTCAGCTTTGTAATAAATCGTCGTGCGTTGTTCTCGAAACAACGTCGCGGTACTTACTACCACCGCTTTTGACATCGAGCTTCGCCGCGTTACCAGCGTACACATCCAACGTATAAACGCTCGACCGATCTCTCTCGTCGTTGATTTCGTGCGCGCACTTGTTGACCGTCAACATGGGGAGCAAGAAATCGGATATTCTGTACCTGTTCGATCGACCGGCGGAGCCGGTGTACGTGCCTAAGGGAGAGAATAAAGTCGCCTTCCAAGTACCAGCTAGCTACCTGGTGAGCCCGAGCTTACTTGACGCTCTTATTACGTGTCAACATTAAATTTCATGGTCTAAGTTCGATGTGACTTATAAAAGTTGAATTTCTTCAGTTTAAAAAGTCTTGCGAAATTTCAACGAAGTTTCCAGAAAGAAGAGCTTATAATTAATTAATAAGGGATTTTAAAATTAATTTCAAAACTTTTTCTCTTTATTTTATGCGAGATCGAAGGAATTTTTTTTGTTTTTATTTCAAGAATTCGCGCGATGTATACTGGAAATTTGTCCTTTACACGATAGAAAAGACACAGCATAAATTTATTCAAATAGAAGAAAATTCCGGATATGTGTGTTTCTTTGTGCGCGAAACGTGTCCTACAAAATGTTTTTCCGTTTTCCATGAACACCTCGAAGCCTGAAAATCGCCAGTCGATAGCTCCCCAGGTGTTCAACCGTTTTTCCGAGGACACCCAGTCGCAAGTTTCCGTGAAGCAAATCAGTCTGCCGGACTTGAGCGTACCTCTTCAACTCGGACGCCGAGATCCGTTCTCTCTTTTCATCCCCAAACATCGCAAACTAGCCGCGCGACTCATTGACATCTTTATGGGTTTGTGTTTCTGATTTTATTTATCTTTCATCAGTTTTTTGTAAACCGATTAACTTGAGAAAGTTTGCTTTTCAATCTTTCTTCGTAAACTATATAATCTTTACACTAACATATGTACGTAATATTTAACGGATAATAAATGTCTCTTCTACACACGCGAGACGAGAATAGCTTAATTAAAATCTTCTCGTGTTAAATATTGGCGAATTAATTATCGGTTACGTCGCCGATCGGTTGTTAATCCGTTTCAGGTATGCGAACGTATGAAGACTTCCTTTCCGTGTCGGTTTACTGTCGCGATCGCATTAATTCGGAGATGTTCATCTACGCGCTCTCGGTGGCAATCTTGCATCGTCCCGACACCAAGGATCTACCGATACCGCCGCTGTCGGAAATTTTCCCAGACAAGTACATCGACAGCGGGATATTTGCCAGAGCGAGGGAGGAAGCCAATGTTGCACCGGCTGGCTCGAGGGTAGTTGCTTGCTGACGCATTAATTATCACCGAACCCGAGTTACTCGATTGTGCGGCTTAATTAACTCGATTCGTTGAAAACAAATCGAATGATCGCGACCTAAAGTGTCGCGTAAAAACCAAAAAGTTCGACTTTTTTTTTTTTTACATTTCAGAAAAGAATACGAGATAAGATTCCGAGATAGAAAAAAAAAAAAAATAAATAAAAACGAGATTATATAATTGCGCTGTTCAACAAGTAACTTATGTTTGGCCGATCGCATAATTTTCCGTAATTTTATGTTTCCGTAATTTACGTTTCATGAAACGCGCATTACGCGTATACGTCGTATATATTATCTCAACGATATTTCAGCGTTCGCTGAAAGCCGTCCGTGAACAGCAGAATTACCGAATAAATTACGAAAAAACGTTGGGAAAAAGATCGTTTCCCTGCCGCTAACGAGAGAGGTCTATTAATCTTCGAGCACAAAGTTTTTTTTCTTCTTCACCCTGTACTTATATTATTTGTTTCCTTCGTGGGGGAAATCACATTTAGCTGCCCATTGAAATTCCGCGAGATTACACTGCATCGGATCTCGACGAGGAGCATCGCGTGGCTTACTGGAGGGAAGATATCGGAGTCAATCTTCATCACTGGCACTGGCATCTGGTATATCCGTTCGAGACCGACATCAGAATTGTTAACAAGGACCGGCGTGGCGAGCTATTCTACTATATGCACCACCAGATCCAAGCCAGGTGGGTTGGCTGCTGCGCCCATCAAACCGCTTCTCTCTGTCTCCGTCTCTCTTGTAAATTGATAACACTGTATATCCTCCTGTACTACTCTCGATGCTTCGAGATCACACGGCGATCGGATCGCATTCTGATCACGATCGTTATTATCGCGAACTCATCTCGAATCTGTGTCCCAACACAATGTTCGATGTTTGCCGAACGGTTCCGAAGGTGCGCAACTCACACATAAAATAACAGACGCAAGGTTATTATTGTTATTATTGTAATAAATTTCGCGCGAGTGTATGCAAATTTAAACGTTTGATAAAAACAAACACACACACTTGCTCAAATGTATCGGTCGCACAAAAAGCGAATTAAGATTTGACGCTTTCGCGATGTGTTGTATTAACATTATCAGGCTGCTGATCATCAGTATCAGGCTGCTCTTCAAACCCTGATGAAGTGAGCTGTAATGTTCACGAAACGTCGGTATAAAAATGACACTAACGCGGTTCAAACCCGAAAAAACATCTTTGTATGTTAATACTACACACCGCGAAAGCATCAAATATCAAACATTCCAAGATGTTTTACGGGTTTGAACTGCGTTAGTGTCATTTTTATACCGACGTTTCGAGAACATTTCAGCTCACTTCGTCAGACTGCTCTTGAAACTTTGATAAAGTGAGCTAAAATGATCACGAGAAACGTCGATACAAAAATGACACTATCGCGGTTCAAACCCGTAAAACATCCTCGAATTAAAATGTTTTTGTCTGTTTTTTTTTTGGGAATTTGTTTTTTTTTTAATCTATATAATATTTTACAGTATTAATACACATTTCTAACTATTCCCTTGTGTAATTCTGTTTTAGATGAAACTTTTGTAGCGCGAGTTTTTTCATATTATGTACTTTTTATTATTCCGTCGTCGATTTGTATCTCATGCTTCCGAGTATATTTGGATATTGCTTGGAATTCTCAACCGGTGGGAATTTCTCCCCCGCATTATTATTCCTCTTCCGCTTTATTCCCATCTCTCACTCTCTCTCTCTCTTCTCGCTAGATACAACATAGAGCGTCTGTGCAACCGATTGGGTCGAGTGAAGCGTTTCCACAATTGGCGCGAGCCGATTCCGGAGGGTTACTTCCCCAAGTTGGATTCTCTTGTGGCGAGTCGCACTTGGCCCGCCCGTCCCGCCGGAGCCGTTCTCAAGGATATCAACCGTCCCGTGGATCAACTGAACTTCGACCTTCAGGATCTTGAGAGGTGGCGCGATCGCATCTACGAAGCCATTCACACAGGCGCTTATATCAGCCCCCGTGGCGAACGGGTGCCTTTGACCGAGTTCGGTGGCGTGGACGTGCTCGGTAACATCATGGAGGCCAGTATTCTCTCGCCCAATCCCAATGTCTACGGGGACCTTCACAATCTCGGCCACGTCGCCATATCTTACTGTCACGATCCCGATCATCGCTACCTGGTACTGAAAACATTCCTTATAATATTCTGTACACACGATCGTAAAAAGAAAACGTAACAAAATCTATGGAATTTTCAACTTTTTAATTTTGGATATCAAATAAAATTGTTTAAAATGTACTCTTGATCATTTAAAGTCGCATTAACCTGTATATATTAAGTAAATTTGTTGTTTGAAGAAATTCTCGAAGCCTTTAAGTTTTTTTTACGTGTTACTATATTTTTTTCAATAAAAAACATCATATATTTCTCACGTTAGAAAAATTGGTACAATCGTGAATGACAAACGGAACGTTTTTTTTTTTCCTTCGCACTTTTATAGGAAACGTTCAGCGTTATGGGAGAACCCGCCACCGCTATGAGAGATCCTGTTTTCTACACGTATCACGCTTTCGTCGACGATGTGTTCCTGGAGCACAAGAATACACTTCCCGAGTACAGCCTACAGCAGGTTGGTGGTGTGCACAGCTGTCTCGTTTCCGCGATATATCATCGGTTCCGCTCGTAGTATATAATGCCGCTAAGTACACGTAGCATGTGGTTCTGAATTACGCGAAGCCATCCGTACCGAGATAAAAACACCCGTTGAACCATTTAATCCGACAAAATCGCTGAACGTGTCGGAATTTATCAATTTTTTTTTTTTTTTTTTGCCGGAATGACGACGATTTCGTTAGAAATACTAAATCTCGATAAACGGCCATAAATTTTTTTCTACCTTCGCGATCGAAGTACACATTTTCCGCAGAAATATCTCCGTTCGTAAATTTCTAATGCGAAATACCTCTCTTCGTGAATTTTTAACGCATCTGTATTGGGTATCTTTTATATTTTGCTCTCTTTGTCAAAAAATTTTAAATGAGATTTAATTTGCTTAAAAGAACAATTTTTTTGACAGCGCTGTCACGCGACTATTCGAATTTTAGCTCTTGAATAGTATTTAGTATGGAGATTAATAGTGTAATTAAAATATTATCGAGATATAAAATCGAACTTTCAAGACATGTAGTTCCATCATTTTTCTCGAAACGTTTAAATCTTTATGTGTCAAATTACCCGCGTTTCCCGCATCACGAGACTCACATCTCTCTCGTAATTAATTACTATTTTAGTTTAATTATATTTTCTATTGAAAGAAGAAACGGGAAACTCTCTCTTTAGAGATTTGTCGAGGGGAAACTGACTGAAAGACAGAGAGAGAGAGAGAGAGAGGAAATAACTCGATGGTGATTCTCTGTACCGCGTGCGACGTACCGGGCGCGCGGAATTTAATCGCTTTTTTCCGTTGTGGAATTTTAGTTGGACTTCCCCGGGGTGACGATCACGGACATCAGCGTGCAAACTCCGAATCAATCGGCGAATGTATTGACGACCTTCTGGACCAAGAGCGACGTCGATCTGTCTCGCGGCATGGATTTCACTCCGCGCGGTCAGGTTCTCGCCAGATTCACTCATCTGAATCACGCCGACTTCAATTACAGAATTGTCGCCAACAACCGCAACAACGCGCCGCGCCGAGGAACCGTTCGCATATTCATCGCGCCGAGACAGGACGAACGCGGATTGCCGTACGTCTTCAGAGATCAGAAGGAGCTCATGATCGAGATGGACAAGTTCACTGTGCTACGTGAGTTTATTTGCATCACATCGGATTATTCTAATAATTAGTTTCGATGTTATATTAAAAAATTTAATCAGTTTAATAGTTTGCGTAAAGGTCAATTGTGAAATTTAAAATCGATTGAAATTTAAAATCAGTCGTGAAGGTCTTTTATCAGTTTATGAAATTTAATCAGTTTATATAATTAATTTCTTTATTCGAAATTTTTTTTTTATAACGTTTCAAAAATATCATCTAGTGCCTCATAATTTTAATTTCTGGAGCATACACAAAAAAACTTTTGAAATACTAACCTTACCCCTATTGTTTGTATTCTCCAACTTTTTCTACGAATCTATATATTTTACATCGGAGCGCGTAGTAATTATGACGTTTCATTTTTATGATTCGAATTCTCAAACATAAGTGCGTTGGAAAAGTGAAAAAATTAATTTCTATTATTATCATAATTTTATATACGTAATTTGTGAAATATCTTATTTTATTACCTGAAAAAGAAGCGAAAATAAATAAGAAGATAACCCCACACTCAATCGCGGTGCGTCGTATTTCACCGTGAAATCATTATTCGTCTCTAGTGAAACCGGGACAGAACACTATCGAGCGTAAATCAACCGAGTCGTCGATAACTATACCGTTCGAGAGAACGTTCCGCAATGTCGATGAGAACAGACCGATCGGCGGCGATGCCCTGGACGCGTTCAACTTCTGCGGATGCGGTTGGCCGCAGCATCTGCTGGTACCTAAGGGAAAGGAGGAAGGATTCCCGATGGACCTCTTCATCATGATATCCGATTACACCGGTGATGCGGTGAGTACTTTTTATACTTATCAAGCTCTCGCGCTCGCGCGCGCGCGCGCGGCTCTTAAGAGCTTAAGAGTGTGTCAGGTCATAAAAAAAAAAAAAAAGAATCCTTTCACCCTTCCCTTCCATCTTTTAATTCCTTTTCTCTCTGGTTTTTTTTTTTACGGTGACATTTTCGGGCGCACAGGAGGATGTTCTCCTCTTTCTCCGGAATGAGAGAAAAATAAAAAAGAAGCTAACGCATGCTGAAAGGAAAAAATATTATTTTTTTACCGTCCCTCGCGACGGCGCAGGTTGAACAAGACGAACCGACCGGTTGCAAGGACGCGGTGAGCTTCTGCGGCCTGCGGGACCGCAAGTATCCGGACGCACGACCGATGGGTTACCCATTTGATCGCAGACCCCGACCAGGCGTGGAGATCCTGTCCCAATTCCTCACCGGTAATATGGCGGTGGCGCAAATCACCATTCGTCATACGGACACGGTGTTGCCGCGCGTGCGTTCCGGAAGCATGAGCAACGCTCTCACCTTCGCCTGAAACCTGATGACCGACCGACCGACCAGATTCCCGACCGATCTCGCTGCATCTCTTGCCGGGAATTCCAACGATTTCGATTCCCGCGACCGCGCACACATTCCCGCGATCCTGCAATATCCGTCGGAGAATCGCGATTGATTGCGTTGGAAGCAAGACCGGGAAAGGGGGGGGAAAGCGCGATACGGGGAGGGTATCCTATCTAGTCTATATCCTTGGATGACGAACATCGCAATGACGGCGGCGAGATGGGGAGCGGGGAAAGAAAGAAAAAAGACCGGAGGTGAACAAAACGCTATTTTCATATCTTCAATGGCGGAAGATTATTCGAAGAATAATAGATTTTCTTCTTGCTCTTTCTCTCTCTCTCTCTGTCTCTGTTTCTCTTTCCAGAAGAATACTATGATTTTGTGCGAATATAATTGCTCGTAAAACTCTTATATGAAATCTCGCGACATTGATTCTACTTGTTTTACGAGAAGATTATATCTCTCCTAGAATATATAATTTTTCTCATTTCACTTCTTTTATATATTTTTTTTTTTATATTTGCTTCTATATTTACTTTTATATTTACTAGTTTGTGGCTAAGCATTCTTAATAGTTATGTATCTAATTAAATATCTCTGTATCCATGTTTTTTTTGTGTGTGACATCTACACAAGTTAGAATTTAATCCGACACGCATTTAATATAGTTAAGTATAGTATAGTTTTTTTGTTTGAATTTAATTTCGTGGAAACGCTTTCTTGAATTTCTCTCGAGCGTATTTTTGCACAAGTTATCGTTTATATCTACGATTTCATTGTTTGCGCATCCGCGAGCAATAAGTGTACCGCTTAAACAAATGTATCTTTGCGTAAAAACAGAGACAATGACGTGTCCCGAACGCCCAAGCGAAGCTTTTTTCTCGTCTATCCCTTTTCCCGTTTCGTCCGCATTACAAAATCTAGATTGTAGGAAGCAAGCAAATGTAAAAAGCAAAAAAAGATAAAAATAAAGTCAGACTATGCAAATTAAACGCGCTTCGTGTTTTGTAACTCCTTTTATTATATTATCTGTGTTGAAAACGCAGAGGCGCTTTCAGCTTACATGACAGCATTGGGTGGCAAGAGGGTTTAAGCGATTCAATTAAAAATTTTTTGTTTTAATTTTAGTCAATATTTACTTTTACAAGAGCAGCTGTGTTAATTTATTTTTCAGTAATTTGTTGACACACAAATTAAGGTATCATCTCTCTTTTAACTACTCATGTAAAAAAAACATGTTGTTCAAATATTGAAACATCAGAAATAGAGATGTGTGTGTGTGTGTTTGATATATAATATATAAATCTGTTTGTATTTGAGATAAGTTTTGTGTGTAGAAACATTTTCAAATTCGCCTCGAAACAATTTATTTCTATTTTGATATTGCGTCAACGTGAAAACTCTAAACAACAATATTCTACCGGCGAAACGACTGAAATGATAATATCTCTCTTTCCACGTGTGTGGAACTTCATAATTAACACACAGCTCGTTTAAATTACTCAGCATTTCTATCAACCGTATTCTACCGTCAACACGCTCATATATATATCCAAAACGTTACGCGCTCTCTCCACGTGGGTCCTGTTCTCTTCCCCAAATGCATTTATCACGCGTTTGTTTCTGCTAGTTCGCAGCTAGACGGACGTGGATTTATTCCTGCAAGGGGGTAGAAATAGGGACTGGCGGACGAAGATAGATACACGTTTACGACCGTCGCTTTAAGCGCGTCGTCGTTCTCTTTCCTAATATCGCTCGTGCGCGCGCGCGGTTATTCAGGAGTTCCACTTAACAAGGGGCCGTTGCACGTTCGAACGCTTGATGTAATGGTTACCTGGAGGCGACGATCGAAAGCTTGGAATTATTTGTTACCGTGCTAAGCGCATGCGACTTGAAGTGGCGATAATGTTTCGTGTTTGGTAATTAATCCGTTTGAAGGGATTGCGAATGCGCGTGACGCGCGATCTTGAGATTTTTGTTTATTTTTGTTTTTACGATAGAAGCGCCTTTTACGATCTTCGTGAGAAAAAAATTTTTTGTTAGATTGTTCTTTTTCACGATGCTCAACGGAATTTTAAAAACATTACCATAATTTCGTTTTCATTTGTGTTATTTTTCAACTCTACGAGTGTGATGCGTACTAATACTTTCCAAAAGTGGAAAAGAGTGGTAAAGGGAATGGATAATAGGGAAACGGTTGGTTACGGTAATGAAGTCGCGCGTTGTGGACAGAAGAAATGGAACAGCGCGAAGGGGAACGTCGCAGACATTTTAGCTTCGAGGACGAAATCGAATCAGGTCGCGTTTTATAAATTTTAAACATTTATACTTGCCGCGTAAATAAAAACAACGTATATCCATTACAAAATTGCGCCGAATAAAAATTTCTTCTCTCTTCTTCCACTTGGTTTTTTAATTTTCTCTCACTCAAATAAATATATAATGCTGGATTATAATTCTTTGCGCAAATAAATAAAGCCGTGAATAAAGCATACAAAATTATACGTGCTACGTAAATACGCATAAATAAATAATGAGAAAAAGAGAGAGAGAGAAAGAGAGAGAAATTAGTTCAATTTCGAAGCTATAAAAATTACTGTTATGTGTGAAAACAATTGCGGAATGCGTTCGAAGAACCGGTATATAAATATATCGTTTTATAGAACGCAAAAAACTTTTTGTATTCGCGAATTGTTTAACGAGAGAAAATTGAAACCCCATAGATGAAATAAAAACTTATTATAGACGAGACCGTTTCGAACTAACAGCAGTGTCGCGCTCGTATTTCGTAATAATTTTCTCTCCCGTTCCTTTATGAATTACAACAGTTCTATTTACAACAATTTGCAGCAATTTGCCTAAATAGATTTAGAGGAAGGAAACATGCAATTCAATATTCAACCATTGTCAACCCGGTGGTGGTTCCTAAATACATATGTGCGCACTGCCGCGGAGCGCGCAGTGACCCGGGTATGTAATCGTTAGGATAAATAATTGTTTCGGTTAAAAGCACGGTCTTTGCTCTGAGCGCTCCTTTCCTTTATTCAAGGAGATTTCGTGAGACGAGACGTTACGTTTATGACGCGCATAAAACTGAGAGAGCGCGCGCGTCTATGAAATGAACATAGAACTCGTGTCAGAGATATACGTATCTCACATTTCGCAAAGGCAGACTATGATCTTGTCTTTAAAGTATACAGCCAGTTAATTCACACGAGTTAACCAACACCTAAAAGAACACACACACAAAAAAAAACAATTTTAGTTCTAAATCTCATTCCTAAAAGCCGACGCGTTCCAAGTCTTCGAAGACTATGTAATAAATTCATGAGATTATTTGATTTTTTTTTTTTTAAATAGTATATAAAATTTTATATATAACAATTTAATATAATATAACTATATAATAATTCTATCTATTCAGAAGAACGATTTAACAATTAATGCGATACACAGTTTCATTATCCAGAAATAATTAACTGGTTCACTTAAATTACTCCTGAGGTTTGGACTTAATTTCTCAATTCACGTTGTTTCGGGCCACCTAATTTCCTGTTATCGATCACTACAGTCTCTACTTACCGCCGCTGCATCTAACGAGAAACGGGCACGACCGGCAAAAGTTCCATTCGCCTTATATACGTACAACGTCTTCTTCGCTTGCGCACATCAGGTTGCTGCTTCCTTTCCTGTCACGGACGTACCGTAATTCGGAGCAATTAGCAGCGCATGCTGGGTGGGCATACAATTTGTAACCGCGTGTATGCTAATGGCGAGATAATCGACCATTAAGCCTTATCATACTCTCGAGGCATTACGCCTGCAGATAATGTTATTTTAACGTCAATGTTACTTGTTTAATGAAATAATATTGAACACATTATTTAGCTTGTTGCGCAATCAATAATAATTATTGATGCGATGTGTTACAAGAATATAATTAGCATTATTATTATTATATAAATATAGCAGAGAAATATTCCCCCGCGTATAAACATAAATTGCATTTATAATTTGACTCATCATATCTCATATATGTATGTACATTTCCGTTATTTCTATCTTTTTTCCTTTTCTCTCTCTCTCTCTCTCTCTCTTTCCTTTTGAGTATAATTATATGATTTACATATTAATAGAATACTGCAATTTTTTAAAATTAATATGATATTATTATAACACGATTTGTATAGGGGAATTGAAGTAACGAATCAATTTATTTATAAATGTGAAATCGAGATTTGATAAAATATAATTAATATTTAACAATGACACACGTATACATAAGTATTTTTCGCGTCAGCATCTATTTCGCGTTTGTCTTTTCACGATCGCAATCTCAGCTTTCTGCTTTTGGAGAAGCGTCGTTCGAATCTCTGATTTTCAAAGATGTTCTTCTCCGATATATACTGTTTTCTTGTCCGTACAGAGAAAGCCGATTTTCAAAAATCTTATTTAGAAAACTGCTAACAGGATCTCGCCGAGTCGATAAATACAAATGCTTGTTTGTCTCGCCGAACGTCACGTGTCAACGTACGGTAATCAATACGTTACATTTTAAAAAACTGAGCGAAGCGATGAGCCATATATTTTATATAGCAATTAAGTTGATTTTTCCCTACAGATTATATGATACAATGTGATGATATATTAACGCGATAATAACATGTATAAAATATAGAGAAATCATTATTCGACTGCATTATCTATTCAATTTCGTTCATCGATGTTACGGTTTGGAAAACACACACGGACAAAGCTTATTTAGAACACAAATATTCGCGTAGAAAGAGAAAAAGAGAGAGAGAGAGAGTGAGTGAGTGAGTGAGTGAGAGAGCGAATATTACTGGAAGATCAGTCGTTTTTCCGCATTTCCAGTAACCCAATTAATAACGTCTCGTAGCTGCGCGGCTCTGTTTGTCTGTAACGCTCGCATGCATCCAGTACACCTTTCAGGTACACGCGCTCTGCATATGCAAGCTTATAGACGAGTGCTTGTTAAGTTTGACGATGCCGTAGGAGAACGCGAGCGACGGAAACCAGCCGTGGTGTACTGCAAAATCCAAACTTTGCCGCGTTTGCAAAAGTCACGTCAAGTGCATCAGACATCCGGTGCGGGTAATAATTACCGCGCCGTGCGTTTACCGTTGCCGACGGCGATATTAACGGGGACACAATGTGGAAATTACGTGATGTTTATATATATATATATATATATATATATATATATATATATATATATATGTATATGTATATGTATGTGTGTGTGCGCGCGCGCGTCTCGTGCGATATACGTATGTATGTTTGTGTTGCTCTTGTACGCGTACGTCACGAATTCTTATTTTTACTCTCTCGTCGAAGTCCTCGCAAGAAATCTACCAGTGTATTGTTTTTCTTAACGCACTTAACGTCATGAGTAAGTAACCTGATAAGAATTTGATGCGGGGTTCTCTAATGGGTTCTAAACCAGTATTTTTCACAGTGATCCGCTTCTTTTGGGAATACGATCTCCCAGTTGCATTAGACGCGATATAAAGGTAATACGCGTATCTTGATATATTTGTTACGGCGGAAAGAACGGCTCTTGTCAGAACGAACAAAAGCGAAAAAGAAAAAGAGAGAGAGAGAGAGAGAGAGAGAGAGAGAGAGAGAGAGAGAGAATAAAAACAAGGAAGGGAGAACGTCGCACCGAACGACGAGAGTTGTAGTCTTATTTAAGAAAAGCTCGTTAAAATCAAGTAATTACACTCGCAGACTTCCCAAAGAATTTCTAAACAGGATTATCACCCTGTTAATCATCACGCTACTCATCGTGCCAACTGGTTCGAATAATGACATGCGGCGCGTGTGTAACGGGCACGGGAGTTTGCGTATGTACTTTTCGCGCAGCATCAGCTGCTTTCCGTGCTTTTGCTTCTTCCGCAGATGAGTCGAGTGTAACATTCGCCTCGACGTATCTACGTCGCTTGAAAACTTTTTAGCGATAATATGTTTA